ATACAGCAGACAGGGCAGTCTTCTGTCGTCTTTTGTACGCAGAATGTTGAATGTCTCACCATTGATGGGCTAGCTATGTAGCAATATTACCAATACCACTGCTGTAGTAATCGACAGATTAAGGTAAATGTAGGATACTAGATGCGCAACCAGTGAGATCTATTATTATTTGTACATACTGCAGGCCCTAATCCGGCCCATGCAGGAGTGGATATATCTGTGCTCAAGTTGCCAGTTGATTCTCCGCAGCCACCTGCCATATAGCGGTATTGCTAAAAAAGTTGTGGAGCTTTTCTTTGAAAGAGTGCCAGCTTGTAATGTTGGCTTCGTGCGCCTAAAACTACACTCGCCGTGGGCCATCAAGTAGAAAAGCACGTTGGCAAGAATAAGGGTCATGTCCCACTTATAGCACTGGCCATTTTTTTTATAGCAGGATTATTTTTTTTTTAATAATAAAATAATCCATTCATACAGGTTGGTGCATTGGTCGATCCTGTCTAGAAAACATGCTAGAATCTCAAGTTGCAGGTAGGAATACGTAGATAGAAGTCACGAGTGACATGTTTGGACTCTGAACATGGTTGGACTCTGAAATACTGCCCTCACGGAACTTCGCGATGGGTACAAGGACGAAGTAGAAACTGCATCATAGTATGTTACGTAAAATGAGGCAAACGTGACTATTTGTGAGTGTATTCTAGGGATCGATCAAGATGGGGAACAGCGCATACAGCAGACAGGGCAGTCTTCTGTCGTCTTTTGTACGCAGAATGTTGAATGTCTCACCATTGATGGGCTAGCTATGTAGCAATATTACCAATACCACTGCTGTAGTAATCGACAGATTAAGGTAAATGTAGGATACTAGATGCGCAACCAGTGAGATCTATTATTATTTGTACATACTGCAGGCCCTAATCCGGCCCATGCAGGAGTGGATATATCTGTGCTCAAGTTGCCAGTTGATTCTCCGCAGCCACCTGCCATATAGCGGTATTGCTAAAAAAGTTGTGGAGCTTTTCTTTGAAAGAGTGCCAGCTTGTAATGTTGGCTTCGTGCGCCTAAAACTACACTCGCCGTGGGCCATCAAGTAGAAAAGCACGTTGGCAAGAATAAGGGTCATGTCCCACTTATAGCACTGGCCATTTTTTTATAGCAGGGATTATTTTTTTTTAAATAATAAAATAATCCATTCATACAGGTTGGTGCATTGGTCGATCCTGTCTAGAAAACATGCTAGAATCTCAAGTTGCAGGTAGGAATACGTAGATAGAAGTCACGAGAGGCGCAGGTGGTGAAAACGATATTCTTTTAACCTGTGACATGGTTGGACTCTGAAATACTGCCCTCACGGAACTTCGCGATGGGTACAAGGACGAAGTAGAAACTGCATCATAGTATGTTACGTAAAATGAGGCAAAACGTGACTATTTGTGAGTGTATTCTAGGGATCGATCAAGATGGGGAACAGCGCATACAGCAGACAGGGCAGTCTTCTGTCGTCTTTTGTACGCAGAATGTTGAATGTCTCACCATTGATGGGCTAGCTATGTAGCAATATTACCAATACCACTGCTGTAGTAATCGACAGATTAAGGTAAATGTAGGATACTAGATGCGCAACCAGTGAGATCTATTATTATTTGTACATACTGCAGGCCCTAATCCGGCCCATGCAGGAGTGGATACATAGAGGTAACATGAGGCATAATAACGCTCCACAAAAAGAAAAGAAAGTACTGATACACATAGGATACTTCACGATTCACATGTATACATTTTTAGAAAAATCAATTTCTTCTAGACAGTTGACAAAAGATTCCAGCGTAGAACAATTCACAGCATTGACTGGCAGCCTATTCCAAAAACTAATGGCCATTGGGAATAAAGAATACTTATGTGTATTGACATTGCTAGCAGGTTGAAAGATGACCATATTATGGTTGTCCTGAGTGAGTGTTTAAATGGGTCCTGTAAGTACAGATTGCGTGGTATCTTAAAATGACCATGATAGAGTAAGTATAGGAATTTTAACCTAGAAATTATTCTTCGTTTGGAAAGTGGCTGAAGATTCGCTATATTAATTAGGTTGGTGACGCTTGAATGCTGCAAATAATTAGAGTAGATGAACCGTGGAGCTAATTTCTGAAAGCGTTCAATTTTGTCTATTAGGTGTTGGGGGGGGACTCCACATTATGTCGGCATATTCTAAGGCAGGGCGAATAACAGTCTTGTATGCATTTAATTTGACTTGGTCCGGAGCATTTCGCAACCTTCTTCTAAAAAAGGATAGCTTCCCTGCCGCTTTTTTGCAGACGGTGTCGATATGAGGTTCCCCACTTGCGTTTGCTGAAAGCGTGACACCAAGGTATTTCACCTGATCACTTTTAGGAAGTTCAATGTTTTCGAAAGTGTACGAAAAATTAAGCGGATTCTTCTTATTAGTGAATGTGAGACGTTTAGTTTTAGATGCGTTCAGTCTCATGCCCCATTTCTGGCACCAAGCGCAAATATTTTTTAAAGAGTTATTCGAGCCGATTTGGTCCTCTGAATGTCTTACAACTGTATACACGACACAATCATCTGCAAAAGCCGCATCTGGATTGGTGCGTGGATACAAAATTGGATATCATTGATATAAATAAGAAATAGTAGAGGCGCAAGGACTGAACCCTGCGGTACTCCCGAGTGCACATGGAGGCTATCGGACATATTCGTGTTTACGACTACACGTTGTGTTCTGTTCATTAAGAAGCTGGAAATCCACGAGATTAAGGTGTCATCAATACCAAAAGCATGTAATTTTGTGATTAAATCTTCATGTGGGACCACATCAAATGCCTTTGAAAAGTCTAAGAATATGGCATCAACCTGACTGTTCGTATTAACAGCGTTGGCGAGGTCATTAGTTATTTCGGCCAGCTGTGTTAGTGTTGACAACCCAGATCTGAATCCATGTTGTTGGTTATAAATAAGGTTATTCTTTTCTAGATGACTGATAATAGATTGAAAAATTATGTGATCCATCACCTTACAACACGTGCTTGTTAATGATACAGGTCTGTAGTTGCTTGGTTCAAATTTAGAGCCAGATTTTAGTATTGGAATTATTTTTGCCGTGCGCCAGTCATCAGGAATACTCGAGGTATCCAAACACACTTTAAATATTATAAGTGAATATTTTGAAATCCAGGCAGCATATCGCTTCAAGAATGCATTAGAGATAGAGTCGAGACAAGTGGACTTCCTTAGGTCAAGGTTATTCAATAAATGTAATATTCCTTCTTCACTTATAAATAATTTTTCCATAGGCTGCTCAACAGGACAGGCCGCCAGTGGCTCCATGACGTGCCTGATGACGTCAAGAGACAGAAGTACAAATTATATCACCAGTGATAAAATGAGAACATTCAGCGCATTGCAAGATGCAATGAAATTCTACTTGTGCATTTCTGCTCGATTGATGGTGAAAAAAACTTGATGTTACAATAGAGGATGGCGTGGATTGTGCAAAAGTTCCATTTCTGTAGGGCTGCATTGTGTTTGCACGGATGCATCTCAGTGGTACAGTCGACTCCTTAAACAAAACTTGAAGGAACCAGGATAATATGTTCCATTTAAAATAGTTCCATTTACTGAGAAATGACCAGGGGTGGAGAATGCGAGAAAGAAACCAATCTTGTGAGAAACACTTGTTTCATTTAAGCAGCACTTCCGTTTAACAGATTTCCATTTACTGAGAGTCTACTGTAGTTTGGTTATCGCATGCTGTTGCGGGTGCCTTACAAGAGGATGAAAGTTGCTAAAACAAACAGTTCAAAAAAATGTCACGCCCATGTGAGATTGTGTAAAGTGCCCTCCAGAGCAGGAACCCCAGCATCAGCTACCAGGCAAAAAAGGCAGGCAACATTTGGCAAGGCGAAAGCTACATCAGGAGGCCTTTTCAAGCTGTTGCATTCTGTTCCCCTAGACAAGTCAGGGAGAGTGAGCTCATGCCACGCGGGTGCTGCAGAAGACAGGAGTTCTGGTGTTGGAGGACAATGTGACTCCCCGACCGATGGAATGCGGCGGTACTTGCCATCGCTGAGAAACCCCGTGAAAAGCGACTGGACTGGTTGTCTCTGCAACGGCGCAGTGCGGGTGCCTAGACACAATGGCAGAGCCGATCTAGACGGATGACCAAGAAGCTGCTTTGGCGCATTGGACATTCACACTTGCAGGCTACGATTTCTTTGGTGAATGCACAAGGACAAGAGAGTGAAGAAGAGAAAAAGCGGGGTCAAGGCAGAAGACGTACAGCTGTAACCCGAGAAAGCGGGTATCCAAGCTGATGGATGTTTTCTCAATGTTAATAAATTATTTTTTCTAAGTTACTTTCTCAAAGTCATGACTTCACGCACATCAGCCAATCTTGGCCCGTGCAAAGAAACCGCATGTCGCCTCAACATGGCCCACCATCTGAACTTCACTAACAATATGTGGACCACTAAAATGCACTTTCATTCAAAATAAGCCATTTCTTGGAATAAAACAAGCACTACGGGTTTTTTTGAACACATTTCAACAATAATGATCGCCTTAACATTTGCCTCTCGTGTTCCTTTAAGGCTTTCACTTTGAACACAGCAGCAAGGCCATGTTATTTTGTACACCCGAGAAAGCAAGAGATCTGGCAGTGTGTTTTCACTCAGCTTCAGGTATGAAACTTGAACTAAACACAAATATCCATTCGCTTTCCAAACAGGGACCCATGCCAACCAATCTGGCAGTAAGTAAGCTGTATTTCATTACAGCATCCAAACACCAAATGTCTACTGCTTTTGTAACACCTGAATATCCCTCCGAAAGGCTCCTTTTTGTCACAAAACGTTCGTTCATCATACACAATGAATGTTCGGCAGGACAATGCAGCACAAGTGTGGTGTTGCATTTTCAAGAACAATAATTATTGGGCAATATGTATGCATTCGAAATGTAAAATGCCAATGGCATCTCTTTACCTTTGTTGTTTTCACAAAGCAACCTAAAGGCTTGGGGCTCCACCCTTATCTTGTGCTTTGAGAAAACTCGCATGTAATCGTCTTCGTACTCTCCAATCATATCTTCACACTGCAAATGGAAAAACAAAATGTTGGAAAGAAGGTGCACGAAAATAGAGATATGGACTACTTTCAATAAAACATAGAGATAAGCACCAGCAGTGTGGCACAACTTCCAACAGAGTAATTTTCTCATTCGGTGATTCCATGCAGTGCTTCCTATTCTACAAATCAATTACCTGCAGAGCACTAGCTAATCCCCACATGTCACCTACTCAATTGCCACTTCGTTTAGATACAAGAAATGTGAGCAAGCCTTTAAGAACCAAAATAACTGTTCCCACTTGATTTTCAAGAGAACATTTTCCAACAATAGTAACTACTGCGTAGATGCACTTATGCAACACCACACCTTCAACTGAATTGTTGGGCAGATTGGTAAATCATAATAAAGTGGATCTTCACAGAAATAAATATAAATATATTTTATGTAGAGCTGTGCAAATAGCAATATTCTGGGCGTGAATCGAATTTCAATAGTATTGAAGTGTGTGTGAATCAAATAAAACATTTTTCTAGTATTCTTTTTAAATATTTCTAGAATATTTTTCAAGCTTCAAAGTGGCAGAGGCTTCTTAAGCACATTCTTATGAGAAAAAAACATGAAAGTGTTTCTTTTGACTACAATGATGAAACACTGGCAGGGTGGTGTTTCACAGTTGTTTCATCAAGAATAAAGTAATGCGGGGGGCAAATCGTATGTATGTACATGACTTGGTGCAACCATAGTGTTGCCGACAACACTTTAATGAGCGAAAGGCAAAGATGCTATTTATTCAGCCTCTCAACCCCTTTCAACTCCTGTTCAACTTATGTGGCACCTCCCTTTGAGTCTGGAGTACCAAATCTGCCACATAGACATCAATATATAAGATAATATAAAATTTTGGATGCTAAAAATCATTTGGCTTCAACTTTTCGAACTTCCTGCCCACATATCAGTGGGCAGGAAGCAGGAAGTATTTTTTTTTAATAGTATTTTTGCGACAGTAGCAGAGCCTGAAAGGCGGCTTTGCCATACTACAATATTATACTAGGGTGAAGCTCATTGAAAATCTGAAGGGGCCGCTGTAAATCGAACGTTGACTGTTTTTGCCCTCGGAAAGCTCAGATGCAATATACACTCATTGAACGGAACCTGAAGGGACCAAAAAAATATGTTCCGTTTAACAGGAGTTCTATTTACAAAAGATGACCAGGGGTGCAAAATGCAACAACAAAACAAGCACTTGTTCTATTTGAAGCAGCAGTTCCGTTTCACAGATTTCTGTTTACTGAGTGTATAGTGTAGTTCAAATTGTGAAATTCGAGTGCAAGAATAGCAAGCAGTATTTGCAAAATATTCAGAATTTCGGATATTCGCACACCCTTAAATCCATGATCTCTTAAACCCCGCGGAAAGTAATGTCACCGAGAGCTTCGTGATACATGCTTTATGTGCTTTATTAAAGTAGTACTGACAATTAATTTTGAAGGAATAACTTGTGAAATAGATGTGTGTGGAAACATATGCATCAACTTGAAGTAGCAACAAATAATACAGCCTGGAACATACACTCAAATGTCAATATAACAAACATGAATATAACGAAATATTGGATATAGCAAAGTTAATAAAAAAAATGGTCTTGGAATAGATACGTACTAAGAAATACCTTTTATGACAAATTTTCGGATATAACGAACTAAATTTCTTGTAAGATGCAACTTTGCTTTAATGAGTTTTGACTGCATTTAAAATTTTGTTGTGTTGCACAACTGCATGTGAAATAAGCCTTTGGCTTATGTATAAACAACCATTGATTCATATGTGGGGTTTAACGTCCCAAAACCACCATGTGATTATGGAGACGCCATAGTAGAGATGTAAAAACAACCTATTGCCTTCTGTGCCACGAGTCGGCCTTGGCTGCCACGATCGCTGTAAGCACTCTCTCGTAACAGACCATTTCAATGGAAATAGGGGGCAGACTGGCATGTGAACACAAAGGCTGACGTACCCTATTTTCGCACATATAACCCGCACAAAAACCCAAAAATTTCAATGGCAAAGTGGAGGTGCGAATAATACGCGGGGTTTTTCCTATAGTGCTGCTTCACAGCAACGCGTGTTGTGCTGTGAAGCCCCTTAACAGTGTAGCGAAGGCTACAGAGGCGGTTTCCGCAAATTCGTGTCGCTCCGCAAGTAGCACGGCAGCTTGCGGCCGATTTTGGTTTCGCTTGCTTGCATCGTTGAAGCGTTTAGAAAAACATTTGGGGAGAGACAATTCGATTGTTCAGTGTAGAATCTCACTGTCACACCACAAGTATATTTTTTGGACGTTCGCGGCCGCTCAGTGACCCTCCACATGTCCCTACGTCACGGACGCCATGTTTACTTTTGGAAAGGGCTTGTTGGAAAGGTGGTGCTGTCTAAAAAAGTTCCATAATAAATAAAGTAAGTTCCATAATAAATAAAGCAGTATTTATTTCAGCAAGGCAAATGAGATATTATAGTGCCTATAGAGATATTATCAGTAAATTAATGTACTACTTTTTGACATGGTAGCAGGCATGCATTTCGGTTCTGTTGTTTCCAGGGTGCTGTTACAGTGTACTAGAAGGGGTAGTGCTGTCAAGTTGTCGCCGAGTGTGAGCGCTCTTTACCTCGCTGATACCGCTAGTTCTCCACATCTCGACCCGTTCGCCAAGCCTAAGTCGATCTGTTCTGTCACCATGAGTAGCGTACGGCGACAGGCCTTCACGGCACAGCAAAAGCTTAAGATCATCGCCGTCGCCGAAGAATTCGGAAATCGCGAAGCGGGAAGACGGCACGATGTGGACGAGTCCTGCGTGCGCCTGTGGAGAAAAAAGAAAGAGAGCCTACAAGCCGCGCACCGCGACCGTACGCCATTTCGTGGCCCCAAGACCGGTGCCTACCCTGAGCTGGAGGCGGAGCTAGTAAAGTTCATCGAAGATGTGAGAAGCAGGGGTGACGCCGTATCGACCAAGATGGCCCAAGTGGAAGCGTGGCGACTTTCGAGGGAGCTAGGCCTACTTCACGAGGTCCGTGCGAGCCGCGGATGGCTGCACCGCTTTATGAAGCGGCAAGGGCTCTCAATCAGACGGCGGACTACAATATGTCAACGCTTGCCGGCTTCTTATGAGGAGAAGCTCCTCAAGTACCAGAGATATGTAATTGGCCTGCGAAAGCAGCACAATTACATTTTCTCGCAAATCGGCAATGCGGATGAAACTCCTGTTTATTTTGAAATGCCGTTGGACACAACGATTGAGAAGACGGGCGGCAGTTCGGTGAGCGTGCTGACCTGCGGGAACACGAAACTGCGCATCACAGTCTTGCTTTGTGCCCTCGCCGACGGCACGCAACTGCGACCGTACGTCATCTTGAAAAGAAAAACTCTACCAAAGGTTCATTTGCCCGCTGGTGTGGTGGTGCGCGCACACGAGAATGCGTGGATAAACAGTGACTTGTTCGTAGACTGGATCAAGATGGTATGAGAGAAGAGGCCCGGTGCGATGCTCGCAAAGAGGTCCATGCTCGTTCTTGACTTGTTCTGCAGCCACACAACTGAGGAAGTGAAGGACCGCCTTTCACGCAATGGCACCGACTTAGTTGTTATACCCAGTGGAATGACGTCAATGTTGCACCCTCTAGATGTGCCGCTTAACAAGCCGTTCAAAGCGCATGTCAAGCGCTATTATGCCGAGTGGATGGCCGAAGGCTAATACGACTTGACGCCGACAGGACGAGTCCGAAGGCCTGATATTGCCCTATTCTGCAAGTGGATTGTCGAGGCATGGAAGGCCATTCTAGGTGAGATGGTGTGAAAAAGTTTCAAGAAATGCTGCATCACAAACAACATGGATGGAACCGAAGATGACCTTGTGCATAATAGTGAGGACTGCGGCTCAAGTGATAGCTCTAGCGAGAGCAGCGACAGTGAGTGAATTGTGACCGGCCTTGCAGACAGCGTATTCTGCTTGCTAAATAAAGCCTTTTCTGTCTACATATGTGCTATCTTGCTTGAGCAGTAGCTTTTGTAGAGCCTTTCCTGTATATCAAATGTGCGGGCAATACGCGAGGATTTTTTTTCTTTCTCGGTGAGCTGAAAGTGGGGGTGCGGATTATATGCAGGGGCGGGTTATAAGTGCAAAAATACGGTACTTGCCTTGGCAGCGCATTTTCGGCGAGTTGCACATATTTACGACATCTCCGAGTGCTCAGATGGCCCAGAGAGTGTCCTTTAAGAACAGTTGTCAATGCGGTGTTAATGTGCACACCGCTTTGTGTGCTCACCCAGCCAGCTATGTTTAAAAATCTGACAGGGCTTATCAGGATTGCCCCCCAATAATTCACTGTCGCCCGCTCAAGGACACGAGCTGTCAAGCCATAATAAACGGGTCGTTAGGTACTTACTGCAATAGAAAAAGCAATATGTAAAATCTTTGTGCTGACACTCCTTAATAAAAAAGTGTTCTATTTATTGAGTTACTTTATTATTAAACAAGGACAGCACTTTGGTGTCAGCAAACTATGTAGCATGCCCATTTTCCTTACACAGAAAAGATGGGTTGGAACGTGGCTGCCCCTTTAATGTAGCCAAATGATTCAATATCATAGTTTCAACACCAAATTTGCTCAATAGAGCACCATCATAAGCTACCTTACCAGAGCATTCCACCTCTTCCTTCTGGCACTTGACTCTGAGTCTATGCCTCGCACTTCACGTTTCACATTACTCTTTCTGCTGCTGTGCACTTCTTGTCTAAATTGTTGTGCACCAAGAAGTTATCTACACACAAGATGGAAGAAAACCTAGCAAGACAAAAGGACCCCTGACAGTGGAAGTTTTGTGAGTGACTTTTTTTACTGCAATTTGAAGCTTTGTGTATTAAAATGACAAAATTGAATCATAAATGCTCTAACACATCATATAATTAATGATAGCATCATTACTTCAGGATGATTTTGCATCAGCTAGAAATGTCCACCTAAATACCACAAGACTAGCGCCTCCCAACAAGGCAGAAGCTGATAGTACGTGCTCTCAAGCATCGGCGATTCTGAACGGGCTGTTTTCAAATAGGGGGGACCTGCGAGCGTTGAATTATGAAACTATGTGGGTGATTTGAGTGTGTGCCCCTTCGAGAAAAGAAAAGCACTCCTGGCGTGAGCAGCCAAAACTACCCTGAGAGCAACTAATAACGAACGATAGTTTTTGCCGAGAGCTAATCGAGAGATAGTCTTTGCCGGGTGCCAGTTGTGAGAGTGTGCGCACACCGTTCATGTTCTCTGACCCCGACAATACTTGCTTGACCTCTGCAGCATTATGCGGGGATCTTTGTCTACGTTAAACCACAGAAAATGTCGATTGAACCTGGATATTCAGATGAACACACACTCTTACTTTCAATCATTCTCTTTAGGCAATGCTCGTCCCTAATCATTGGTCCGAAGTGGCCCCTCATGCAAGACTATCGATTAATGCAAGCATCTCAGGTTTCTAAAATTGATGTCAGGGGTCCATTGAGATGTCATGGCTTCCTAGAGCCATTCGGTAAGGCTGGATAAAACAGTTCTGCAGGACATGAAAGGCGAAGCCAGAGCTTGATAGGAGCTTAACGGGATAGCCTGTTACCAGCATTCTGCACCGACATTGTGTGTCCTATTGCGTAAAGAAAGACAAAGTCAGCAACGAATATACTGATTCAAACTCACAAGAGGAATGACAGATATTTAGCACATTTATAATGACCATGAAACATTTTCGTGTTTCGATCCGTGAGCACTACACATTAAAAACGGAAAAGCACCATCAAGGAAGCAGTCTGTTACCACAATTTATTAACTATGGCTGGGGGCAGGTGAGATAAAAGCAAATTAGCTGTTCATTTTGAGAATCGGAGTAACTTATCTTTCAAAGAGACCGCCCCTTACATCTACTAACACATGTAAGCATCATTTAAGCCAAAAACCCAAAATCAGCCCTTATTTTTAATCAAGAACTGTATCTGTACAAGCCTTTTTCTTGCTTCTCTCTCTCTCTCTCTTTTTTCTTTCAATCTATGAGATAACTTCCAGATGATTTACTGTGTTTCAGAGGAACTCTTCATGCCACATGCGCTGCAGACACATGAACACATTGGGCACATGACATTTGGGGGCAGTTGAACTGGCTTCATCAAGAAAAAAAAGATCGCTGGCACTCGTTGCAATTTTCGGCTGTATTCACAGTGTACACCCAGCGACAAACGTTTACAGAACATGGGCTTGACAGCAAGTGTGACATTTTGCTGTCTAAATGCATAGCACATTTAAAGGTCCAGTAAATAACTGTGAGATCCAAAAATTGTTATAAAGAGAAATATGTCCATTTTTGCTTTGTAAACATGCTGCCCCAAGAATATTGCGAACACGTGCCATAAATAAGGAAGTTACAAGGGTTAGAACATCACTTTCAGCTGGTTTCAAATTTTCGCGTGGCCTCACCACCCTTCTCCCTCACAGGAAGATGAAGGTGTAGCCCGCCATTGTGACTGATTTGGACCTATCGATGAGCTGCATGCCCCGTCAAGTCGCCGATCAGCGACATTGCGTTACTGCATGTGAAAGGAGGATTGGTCAGGCGTAGGAAAGGAGTGCGGGAATCGTTTTTCAAAATGGAGGCCCTGCGTGGCGCACAGTGCTGTAATATTCGGAAAACGTGATCACCGCAGTCTCCTGTACAAATTGCCAAGCCTCTTTTAGGGAGTGTCAAAGTCGGAGCCTGTTGACTGGCCCTTTAAAACGAATAACTGTGGGTTGCCAAAACTTAAGCTTGAAACTTTTAAAGTAAAGACCACTTTTCTTGGCTAACTGACAGCTAAGCTTTTTTGCAACTTCTGTGTCCAGTAAACAGTGTTTGCTCGTTGTGCTTCTCTGTAGCATACACCAAGCACCCACTTTAATTAAAGGGGAACTTAAGTCAAATAACAACTTATGTCAGGGTGAAAGCTCAATGTATGACATCTAAAACGACAACATTATCAACAACAGTGCCCTATTTACCGAGAAATTAAGGTAAATGCACAAGAACACATGCGCCGCAGTAGGACATTCTCAAAATGATCCTGATGACCTCAGACGGACCGCCTAGAATTAATCACTAGTAATCGCTTTAGCTGCACTAAATAAAGAACATTCCAAGAATCAAGGAACGCAATAAAATGCTGCTTGTTCGTTTATGCTTGATTCATGGAAAAAAGAACCGCCGGACGTTACTATAGAGAATGGCACGAGTAGTTCGAAAATTCAATTTTCGTGTTGTTACACTGAACAGGTGGTGTCATCTGGCGGGGCGAAGTTGAATAAAAAAACGTCTGCAATCTAGAAGTCAATGGTGGGAAACTGATCAATAACCGTTGTTGCTGCTGTGGCTCCCGCTGCTTTCGGTCTGCTGCTACTTGCGCAGTAACACCAGACACGTTGTGCAGGTAACAGTGACGCTAGTCAATCTGCTCAGTCTGCTTCTTGAGGCAAGCAATTTGAAGTATGCTAACCCGATGGGGACCTCTAATACGCTATTTTATATCAAAATAGGCCCTTCCTTGGCCCAAAAGCAACCCTACGAGGCTTCTGGACCGCTGTTTCAACAATTAATGCCGGCTTAATAGTTGCTTTTAGTGTCTTTTAAGCACATGATCTGGACACCATCTGCATACAGTTTGTAAAAACGTATGAGTTAGCAAATTTGTGAGCAGCAGAGGTTGTCTATGTCAAAACTAAAATCGAAGGGTAAACTTACAAGCTGCCGAATTTTTCCGTTAGCAGTGGGGTCAGGGACAACTTGGTAAGTGCTCAGCTTGTCAACGTCCTTACTGAGGTTCACAAGAATGAGCTCTCCGTTCTCCTTGTGTGTCGCCTGTGCGTAGTTGTCCATCTGGCTGCACACTTCGTCGAGGACATCGTGCATGTGTGCCTCGGAGCCAGCGTAAGGAATCTGAAATTGAAAAATTTCATCAAAACTCGGGGGTTTTTCGAGCCAGAACCGCAGGTTGATGACATGTGCAGTAGCAAGACTTCAGATTTATTTCGACCATCGTTTGACCATTTGTGTACTATAGTTCAGTAACCCACACCCTCTAGTTTAGCAGCACAACGCCCTGAGCAATCTCAGTATGCCGGAAGCTAGAATGAATAAAGTGCAAACGTTGGATGAAGAACACAACATGAACAACAGTGAGAGGTGACAGGCAGCGTTTGCAAGATATACTGGCAAGACAATTAGAGCTGCACTTTACATTTCATGCCTCTGAGGCCTGGTCAGGGCTTGCCACTCCACCTCATGAACCTAAACTATCGTATCATACCCTGCTGCACTTAGCATTCAGTCATTTTCTGATACACTAAAATGATAGCACTCTGACAACTAAGCAACAGCTTTTGCTACGACTAAAGTACTACTGAAAGTGCTGACATGGGCACAAGGTAATTTCTTTGTGGTGAATGGGTTTCACCGGCTAACTCTTACACATGTTACTGCTTCAAACATGCTTAGTCTTGTACTAGAACTGTCAGAATCCATTTGAATGTTACGATCGAAGTGCTTGTACAATGCTGACGTGTTAAATATGCAGATCTGATTTTCAGGGGCCAATGACTGTGCTGCGAGTGTCACTTGCTTTGCTGACTAGAAACTCACTAAGCAAAGAGTTCAACCTGTTGATGGCTTGGCTGCTGCTGTCTTCACCGTCACATCATGAGGCTACTTAGAATGTATTCTCTGTGATGATACCAGTGCTATCAGCATGATAAGAAGGCTTTCCAGAGTGGCAATACAGTGTGCAAGTTGATACCTTTCTGGCATATTAAGAATAAAACGTGAAAATATACAAGTAGGGAGGGACTCCCAGCTTAAGGAGCACATACCAGAGGGGTTAATATAATAATAATAATAATAATGTTTATTTTTCATTAATAGCTGCTTTCCGAAAGAGGCAGCTTGACAAAGGCCCACAGCCACCTTTTAGCCCGACAGGAATGACAGTCAGTCAGCAATATGAACTAAAAAAAAGCAACAAAACAAATCAAGTCATGATTCCGAAAAAAAATAGCAACACTGATAACAATATAGCAACTGCAAATAAATATTAAAAACCAAACATGTGTACATTGTGCCATTGAGTTTGTGTGCAGTGTAAGAAATCTATGGCATCTTTCACATATTTATCAAGTAAAGTAGAAACTATGTAGGATAACTTATCTCTGGAGTAGTTTGTTCTCAATTTTTTTATTTCCCATGTTTCTTTATTTCATGTTTCAAACAATGAAGTATGTGGCTGCAGTTTTGAGAGGTCGTACAAAAAATGTCAACTTTCATTCAATTCTCGCCTGATCGCCAATGCTACCTTAAATCTGTCACTATTTATTAATCACACAACTTACTGCAGTGCACGTTGATTGAATGGGGCTGCATGGCTGGTGGCGATGACTGTCATTTGTTTGCAGATTCTCATGCTATGCCTAATCAAAGTGAGTTGAAACGAATAGTCCACTTAGCAAAGTGTTGCAGAGTCCCAACACCAGGTGTCCTACAAGTCTGCTAAAACTTGAATATAAATGATCGCCACGTAGCTGGACAGCAACAGCACTTGCTTCTTGCTGTTGCTTATTTCAAGTCGGACAATTTTCTTGCCTTCTTTCAAGTCAGGTTAAGATGTTTGTGTAGTGTGACAGTTCACTTTGCTCAGTAATTGTGAAAAAGCATGACGAGGCAGCGGGCACCCAGAACCAGCCTGGTAACGTGAATGGATGTGCTGGTTGCACATATCGATCGTGTGTGTATGAAAAAAGTTTGTGGAGCATTCAATGTGGCCTGGCAATGAGTTTAGCCAATGCATGCAAACTTTTTACTGCATTGAGAGACTTTTTCCCACTATGTATTTTAGTAAATGGTGAATCTAATTAAGAGCAGGTAAACATAAATTTAATGTGCTCAATGAATACACACTAACACCAGAAAATTAAGAATATTTGTTACGGCAGTACATGTTGTACACATGCAGTACATTGGCTGTGATAGAAGGCTTCTGGTGGTAAAGGCACTGATGGCATGAAATGTCTGCGCTAAGCAGATTCAGCAAATTGTAGCACTCAGCCATTTCTGCCATCTGTCTCTCATACAGTGTTCAAGATGCTATTATACCATCACTCCCATAGACAAACACATATGGTCTGACCGACCCTCCACGTGGCAACACCATCCTTAAGCCAATCCGCACTTTAGGCCCACAACCGATAAGTCAACTTTTATCAAAGCAAGATTTTGCGCTCCTGATGGAATCACATATGTGATGTATGGTAATCGTATTTTCTCAGTGCACGTGTTGGTATGTACTATAGTCAGATACAACTTCAGAAGTCCACAACATTTCCGCCACAAAGGGAGATTCACACAAGTCTGCCCGACACACACCATCCAGACATCATGAGCTAGACGGTCAGTGCCTTTGGTGAACACCGCCAAGTGCATGAGCGGGACTATTTCTTTCGTCGCCGAAGCGATCCGCTAGCGCTTTTTGGTTGTCAGGACGGGGATTCTCCGTACTTCTAAGGTGCATCCGACTATTATTGTTTTTCTACCAACTTTCACTCGCGGTTATACAAGGCGCAGTCAATGATTGCCTTTCCTTTTTCTTCTCATGTACTGGTACCCCAATCGCCCAAACATAAAGTTGTAAATTGAGCTTAGCTTCTCAAACGATAAAATTAAGTTTAAAACACCATAATATTAACATCTAACATTGCCACACCACAGTACAAATATTTGATATTCAAGATCAGGTTCCTGTTTTGAATATTTGCATGATAAATTTCTAATTTCAAGAAACTCCTCACCATAGTGTATTTTAAAGGTTTATGATCTACCTATTATTTTTCAAGCAACCTTAAATCAAGAGCACATTTGTAGCGCCCAAAGTTGATGCTTATTTGGATATCTAAACAATGTTCCAAATATTGATCTGGTTTACCCCCCTCCCCCCCTCGATGCAGTTCTGAAAATCTTCAAACGTATAAGAGCACAAACCGTCCGCCGTACCAGCGTGTGCTATTTCCACCACAGTTCTTCACGAAACCGGTCGCGTTAATGGGTTCTACACAGTAAAAATTTTCGACCGCAGTTTTATTTCCCGGAAGGCTCGTTTGCGCAAATCAGCGAAAAAGAGCACAGAATTTCGATGCAGAAACCTGGAACGAAAAGGGACAATAAATGTCACGACTAGCGACGAAGTTTTGCGAGAAGAGAAGCGCCTTCCTGATCAGCATGCAGATGAGATGCACCTCGCTCGGCTTCGTTCATGCACGAAGTGCTCAAAAAGCCCGTACCGTTTTTTGCTTCTGAGTTCCATCGGCTTGCAGCCTAAAGCTTCCGACAGGTATCTTCTTTTTAGGGTCAACCTTTGAAATAGCTGCAACCGATTCTGTCACCAACGCTTTGCACACTGAAACAACAACAGGAAAAAAAAAAAAGCGTCAGCCAAGTTGAAAGAGAAACAGCACAAGTTTTTCATTACTAAAAACAAGCGCGGGTTACAATCAAATAAACGCGCCAGTTTCCACGAGCGTCGACGATGCCAAGCTTGCTACACAGCATAACGGATTAGCTTTTTGTCTTACGAGAACAAGCAGCAGTGCTGCGCGAAGCACGGATCGGGAGCATTATCATTAAGTTCATTCATCCGGCGAGGGAACACTCACCCTGACACTTTAGCTCCTGCACAGTCGGCTCACAAAACGCTACACAGCAAAGTGTGAAAAGAACAAGAACTTGCACGGTGAGAGCACTGAGGTACTGCATTTGAAGCTATAAGTTGAAGAGCGCGTAGCGATTGGGGAAATCAAAAAGTGCTTATAACGCTTATTACACGTGTACTTCGCGAAACCCACCGCGCCAACCGCTTCACCGGCGACGACAAAATAAACACATGAACTAAAGCTACCTGGAAAGTGCCACAAACATGGCGGCCTTGGCGTACTTTCTCATAGAGCTAATATATTGACTCTATATTAACTATAAACCTTTCTTTGAAGAAAAAGTTGGATAAACAAAAAAGTGGAACAATTGTTGGTCATAAAAGCATAGCCTTTAAGACTTGTAATCAGAGCCTCCGAGCATTAAAACAAGTAACGTTACAATAATAAATTATAAACCAATCTAACCTTAAAATAATTAAAATAGAACGTTTGTAACAATTTGTGTGGCTTAGTATTAGACATTAAGGTTATTTTAGTGTCATTTATGGCTTAGTTTAGTGACGTTTCCTGACGTTGCATGTGACGTCACGACAGGTGACATACGGGGCGCGATCGCTCTTGCCCCGCTCTCGCGCAACACGAAGGTCTTGCCTTGGCGACGTGAATTTCCGCTCAGTGGTCCAGTCGGTAAGTTCCCGAACTTGTGCCTCGAGAGAGACTCTTACCTTGGAAGCCACAGTAGCCCCAGCTTCGCGCAGATGGTATGAACTAGCTTCTCTGCTTGATTCGCCGACCTCGATTGCACCTTGAAACCGTAATCAAAATGAATGAATGGGCCGTAATCCCGGTCGTACCGGCATTTAAACCAAACACAGGCGTTTTGCGGCAATGCATGTAAAGTCCCTCATCTTCGCTTTCCTATTTCGTTGCCTGCCGGTATTGTAGGGTGACACGGCTTCCCGTTGAGTGTTGGTTTAGTGTACTTGCCTACGACCTTGGCGGCTGTCGACCATTGCAAATTTGTGTTAGGTATGATGCAACGTATGCACCCGTACAAAATGTCTCTGTTCGCGCGGCCTCTCGTCTTCTGTGCGATGCTTTATCGTTCACCCAAGTGAAGAATTGATCGTTGCGCGTGCTACATTCGTTCCAGCTGCGCCTTCGTTCGCCGTAGGATCTAAAGCCGGCAAGTATTTGCTGCACGCGCCGCTCGTGCAGATGACGATATGCACTACCGGAAACGCATTTGCATTTCTTCAGTATGCTTCAACGTTTTCTCGATCGTATCGGAACATGGGGCACTTAGTGATGAAATATTAATAGTTAGTCCATTACTTTTTGTTTAAAACGCGACGACTTCTACACAAGCTTACTTGGAAGTGTGGAAGAGGTCAAGCCCTCCCCATTGTAGCTCACTAATGTAAGTTGGCTGAATGAGACTCTATGTAAAATTTATTTAGCTGGCAACAGATGTCGCATTACCTGCTGCCTCAAACACATCTAGCAAACGTCGCAAATCGAAGAGATACGAAGCTGAGAGGGTTTTACATATCGTCTGTTCTTCTCGGCACCAAGCCATGACTTTCTACAGCTGTTGCTCTTCAGGCTAATTTCGCTACACGCCTCACCGAGTTCCAGATAACTAGCTGCAAACTTGTCGAGTTGAGATCCACTTGCTAACCTCAGTACCGATGAGAGCCCAAAAATGTACGAAATCGCTAGTTTCTCGAACTCTTAGAAGTCCGAGCCAAAATATATTGCTATTTTTAAATTCCTTAATAAATGTTTCTCTCTCTCTCTCTCCTAACAGTTTTTTTTTGTGAAACCTCACTGAGAGCTAAAAAAAAATATCGCTGCTACGTCTCTACTTGTGTATATTTGAGATCATTTTACACTATATGTCACTTAATTGTTTTAATTGTTCTATGCAGGAAACAAGATCTAAAATGTCTTTATTCATTTTAGTGTGGTGTCGTGTTAAAGCATCTACAGGAAGCGAATGCATTTTGTGCCAGCAGACCTTTGTCGCTAACATTCAGATTGAACCACATATTTGAACAGTGCGAATTATGAACGTTTCTCAATTTTCGCAGGCTTTGCTTTTTCAACCATTTGTTTTTATTTCTTGTTGCTGCGACCTCCTGCCATGATTACCTCAATCCTATTGCGGTCTTGCCCTGCTAACAGTGAGCCGTTATTATTTGGCAATGGTTAATGTAGTGTTCCAAAGGTGAACGAGTAAGTTTCTTGCAATGAAGTCAATTTTACCCTATGACCTTGATATTATTACCGATATTTTGGCGAGATCACTTTTTCTGTGACAATGCATTTGTGCATGGACGTCACTGAGCGTGCTATTTTGTTGTACAGACAGCACAGCAAAATGGTTCCGTTTATCTCAGTCTGTTATCTGTATCCATAAGCACTGTGGAATTCGCTAAGTAGTCAACAAAATGGTGTGCATTGACGTGCAAACTCTCCTTGTTTTGTGTACATATTTAGAGACGGCTTTTACAGTAACGGTGATGTTAGGCTAAAGAGTGCTCGCACTAAAATGATCATGATGTCGGTCTTTAGGCATCTTATGTGGCAAGGCAGCCTTTAGATATTTGTGCATATTGCATACACATGGAACAGCCGCTTTACAGCAGGGTCTTTTTGTGGCACAGCCTAGGGAATATCGACATGTGCTCTATCCTAGCTCAATCCTATCTAGCCTAGGGAATATGGAGTGCTCAACCGCCACATTTTCTTTTAACTAGACTTGTAGGCAAGGATGGCAAACAGTTGCTCTTGATACACCTTTATGTGCCGTAGATGAGTCAGACTTTTCATGCAAGATAACTTAATATTGCTACGTGCCAGTGCATGGAGCTGAAGAAGAGAAAGCAGATAGACTGGCACGAGCTAATCGGTGTGGCTGGCGCTGCTTGCCTAACCGGCTGTAAGTACATCGGTAACTACCCCTCTGAGTCAGTCTCCTTCCCGTAACATATTTGGTGGAGTTGTGCGATCCCCGTCCTCGCCGCGGAACTCCGAAGCGGACGCTCCCTCACGGCTTACAACATGACCACTCAAGACTCTGCTACATCCTCTCCGGTCGCTCTCCTTTCTGCACGACCTGTCAATCCAGCGCCCGCAACAACTTTCGTGATGCTTCCCGCGCTCAAAGACCCCAGCGTGTTCTCGGGCAGCGAGGGTTCCGACGTCGACCAGTGGCTACGCCTCTATGAACGCGTCAGCGCCACTTACAGGTGGGATCTCACTCTTATGCTCGCAAACGTCATCTTTTATCTCGACGGAACCCCTCGTGTTTGGTTTGATAACCACGAGCATGACATAACAAGCTGGGACAGCTTCAAGGCAAAGATCCGTGAGCTTTTTGGCAACATCTCTGGTCGTCGTGAAGCTGCGAAAAATGAGTTGTCGACTCGCGCACAATCTTCCACGGAGCTCTACATCGGTTATATTCAGGCTGTCCTTTCACTATGCCGTCAAGGTGACGAAAATATGTCTGAACCTAAAAAAGTTGCGCATATCCTAAAGGGTATCGCCGACGATGCGTTCAACTTGTTGGTATTCAACAATGTGTCATCTGTTGATGCGATCATTCAAGAATGCCGCCGGTTCTAACAAACTAAAAGCAGACGCATCTCCCATCAGTTCCAGCGCCTCCCGAACACCACTGCGACGTCCTCGTGTCTCGACACATATCATCCACCAGACACCTGTGACAACTTGACGCGAATCGTCAGGCGAGAGCTTGAAGCGGCTGCTCCAGCTAAGGTGGCACCAATGTCCCCTGACCCCTCTCCGCCAATTACGTTGCCTCTCATTCAAGCAGTCGTCCGACAGGAAATCGCCAGCTTGGGAATTCACTCCATCTCACCGCCTCCCCGCACCGACTACCAGCCCCGATACACGCCTGCACGTCCCTTCCCGACCGGCTCTCCCTCAACGTTCCGTAATCCGTCCGCATGGCGAACACACGATGACAAGCCGATATGCTTCTCGTGTCACAGAATCGGGCACATTTCTCGCCATTGCAGAAGTCGCTGGGGTCCTCCTGCACAACCGTCTTCTCGTCCCTTCTATGCACGTCCTGCCTATCGCCATGAGACCAGCCGCGACCATTTTGCCCAGGAACCTGCTTCTGAACACCGCTACTCCCGCTCTCCATCCCCCCAACGTCGCCAGTCTCGTTCTCCACAGCCCCGCCGACCATCTTCCCCCGCCTTCCCAAGAGGTTCCCCGTTGGAAAACTAAGCGTTGCAGCCCCCGGAGGTGGCGCTGCATCGCTCGGACTGACCGAAAATCCTCTTTTGACGATACCGACAAAACGAAACCTCATAGACGTACAAGTAGACGGCGTACATGTCACTGCTCTTGTCGACACCGGCGCCCAACTTTCCGTGATGATGAGTGATTTTCGCCGCAAGCTCAAGAAGGTTCTCACACCTGCGACCACTCAGTTCGTCCGTGTTGCGGATGGTGGATAGCATCTATCGTTGGAATGTGCTCCGCTCGTGTGAGCATTGCGGATCGACACACAGTTGTTCTCTTTACCGTCCTTGATAAATGCCCCCACGACGTAATATTAGGCCTCGGCTTCCTGTCCGCGCATTCTGCCCTCATAGACTGTTCGACCAGTACGCTCCGTCTACACTTGCCCGCAACAGAATCTCTTACACAACGGCCGAGTCGCCTCTGCACAACGGGACATGCGCGCCTCCCTCCACAGACACTGGCCTACATAGAGCTCGTCTCAATACCACCAGTTCCCGACGATGACTATGTTCTGACCCCTATCACCGATGTTCTCATAAGCCGTGTCATTACATTACCGCACACCATTCTGTCCGTCGCAGGAAATTCTACGTGCCTCCCAGTTGTTAACTTTAGCTTGACACCTCAAGTTTTGCCACAAGGGATCTCTTTGGCTTTGCTCTGCACCTTAGAGGACAATGCGGTAGATGTTTTCGCGATGGCCGCCCCTTCTGACCCCCACACTCAACATCAATCTGCCACTTGCTCCGACGGCGCTATTACTTCGATGATCGCTTCCAACCTAACGCCGCAGCAGACTGATGAGCTCCACCGGGTTCTGCTGTCCTACATCGACGTTTTTGACATCAGCGGCCGTCCGTTGGGGAAAGCTACCGGTATGAGCCACCGCATAAACACTGGTAATGAGCATCCTATTCATAGGCGTCCATATCGGGTGTCGGCGGCCGAGCGTCACATCATCCAAAGTAAGGTGTACAAAATGCTCGCCAAGGACATCATTGAGCCATCCTGCAGTCCTTGGGCTTCTCCTGTAGTGCTAGTCCGCAAGAAAGACGGTGCATGGCGTTTGTGTGGATTATCGACACCTAAACAAAATTACCAAAAAAGACGTCTATTCTCTGCCACGAATAGATGATGCGCTTGATTGCCTCTATGGGTCCCACTATTTTTCCTCCATAGACCTTCGTTCCGGCTACTGGCAGATAGAGGTAGATGAAATGGACCGTGAAAAGACGTCATTCATCACCCCCGATGGCCTATATCAGTTAAAGGTCATGCCCTTCGGCCTTTGTAACGCTCCAGCCACCTTCGAACAAATGATGGACTCCCTGCTCAGAGGATTCAAATGGTCCACCTGTTTGTGCTACTTGGACGACGTCATCGTCTTTTCACCAACATTTAAAACTCACATAGAGCGCCTCTCAGCCCTCTGGGAATCTTCCGTCGCGCTGGCCTGCAGCTTAACTCGTCCAAATTGTCACTTTGGATGCCATCAAATCACAGTGCTTGGCCATTTAGTAGATGCCAACGGTGTACAACCAAGAGCCGGCAAAATCAGCGCCGCAAAAACTTTCCTGTACCACGATCTGCGAAGGATGTACGCAGCTTTATCGGACTATGCTCCTACTTCCGACGCTTCGTGATTACAGAGGCGTTACAAATTCGGCACTGGGGCCGACAGAGACGCGAAGAGCCGAGCTCTTCTCTCTAACACAACACATAGCTCTACTCTCAAATGGGTCTGCTGTCAAAGGGGTCTCTCCCGACGCGCCGCAGGGCTTCTTTTATATGCCCCGGGTCCAACCCAAATGCCCAACCAGAAGCGCCGCTGGTTGCGAGGTCAGAATCCTCCAATGAGGTCGCCGCTGGGCCGTGTCCTTCTTTCTCATCGAATCTGGAGAGGCTGCGCTGCAGGTGGCTGCACCCATGGACGAGTGACGTCGCCGCGCATTGCGTCAGCCGCCAGACAGGAAGACCGGCTCGCGGCTGAGATGACTCACTGCACGTGCACGCCAGAAAGGCGCCGTGGCTTGATGACGCCGTTGAGTTGTTGGTCGCCTCAAGCGGCTTGCGTGCTGGCCTTGACACAGATTGCCTTTTTCAGAGGCACGGACGTTCGCTGTGGACTCGCAGGCATAACAGCACATAGCGAGGCCGCTTACGCAGCTCCTCAAGAAAAAAGTCCCGTTTTCATGGGGCTCCGAAGAGGCTTCTGCGTTCTCGACTCTCGTCGCTCTTCTCACTACCCCTCTGATTATGGCACATTTCAACCCTGCTGCCCCTACGGAAATCCGTACAGATGCAAGTGGGCATGGCATTGGTGCAGTGCTGGCTCAGAAACAACATGGCCATGATTGCGTTATTGCATATGCCAGCCGCCTCCTATCCGCCCCTGAACGTTACTATTCGACAACAGAGCGTGAGTGCTTGGCTCTTGTATGGGCGGTGGCGAAATTTCGACCTTATCTATGCGGACGCCCATTTTCGGTACTTACCGACCACCATGCACTCTGCTGGCTCAACTCTCTGAAAGATCCATCAGGCCGCCTTGGTCGCTGGGCTTTGCGCCTGCAAGAGTTTTCCTATTCGGTGGTCTACAAATCTGGCCACCTGCACCGTGATGCCGATTGCCTCTCTCGGTACCCTATCGACGATCCTGAGGACACTGACGAGCTCACGGAGAACTCTATCTTGTCAGTGTCCGACTTTCTTAATATTGGGGAAAAACAGAAGCCTGATCCAGAGCTGCTTGACATCATCAGCCGTATGGAATCCTCCACAAATTATGCTTCCATCCGCTACTTTGTCATTCAAAAGGGTGTGCTATACCGTCGCAATTTCCGACCAGACGGGCCCGACCTTCTCATTGTTGTGCCCAAGCATTTGTGCCGCTGCGTTCTCACCGAACTTCACGACGCTCCCATGGCTGGTCACCTTGGCGTATCTCGCACGTACGAGCGCGTCCGGCACCGTTTTTTCTGGCCAGGCCTTGCTCGTTCCGTACGCCGATACGTTGCCACGTGTGACCAATGCCAACGTCGGAAAACACCGTCGCTGCTACCCGCTGGCCATCTTCAACCAATTCACATACCCGCGGAACCATTTTACCGTGTTGGGTTAGACCTACTTGGTCCTTTTCCCACATCAACATTGGGAAACAAATGGATAGCTGTTATTACAGACTACGCTACACGCTACGCTATTACGCGAGCTCTACCGACCAGCTGTGCAACCGACGTCGCTGACTTGTTACGGGACGTTATATTGATTCACGGTGCTCCGAGACAGCTTCTCACAGACCGTGGCTGTACATTTTTATCCCAAGTCATTGCCGACATTCTGCGTTCTTGTTCCACACAACACACACTGACAACCGCTTGCCACCCTCAAACAAACGGCCTCACGGAACGATTTAACCGTACTTTAACGAATATGCTCGCTATGTACGTGTCGCCCGACCACCGAGACTGGGACCTTGCCTTACCCTACGCAACTTCCGCGTATAATTCATCCGGTCACGACACAGCGGGCTTTTCGCCGTTCTACTTATTGTACGGAAGAGAGCCGACTTTACCACTAGACACAGTCATCTCAGCTCACACCTCGTCCACCAGCGAGTATGCCCGCGACGCGATTGCGCGAGCCGATCATGCCCGTCAGCTCGCTCGGCTGATGGCGTCGCAAACCAACCAATGCCGTCGGTACGATGCGGAACATAGAGACGTACTTCGCTCCCGGTACCCTCGTTTTACTCTGGTCCCCTCATCGTCGGCTGGGCCTATCCGAAAAACTGCTGTCTCATTACACGGGACCCTACCGTATATTGCGTAAAGTAACACCTGTCACCTACGAGATCAGCCCCATCTGTCCATCATCATCTACTATGCGGCCCAGTGATATCGCACACGTCTCGCGGATCAAGCCCTACAATAATGCGTCAGATAACGACTTTTAAAGCACCGGACGGCGCCTCCGCCGCCGGGGGTCTTGCTACGTGCCAGTGCATGGAGCTGAAGAAAAGAAAGCAGATAGACTCGCACGAGCTAATCGGTGTGGCTGGCGCTGCTCCCCTAACCGGCTGTAAATACATCGGTGACTACCCCTCTGAGTCAGTCTCCTTCCCGTAACAATATCATATCACGCTCGTGCTACTCATCACCTTTTATTTGTATGCCTTCTCTGTTAGCCCAAGCTGATGGCACTACACAGGAGTGATGAAAGCCAGTACCTGTAACCTTGAGTATGCAATGTAGACTGTGGCAAACTTGTCGTAGAGTGACACACTTGATCCTCTGAAATCTTTAGTATGGCATCAATTGCCAGATGTCAAAAAGGCGGGTGTTCATGGCTACACATCAACAGACAATGTGGACGGAGATATCAAGTTCATATACAAGTGGTCTTTTATAATAGACTGGTAACAAATGTGCATCTTTACAACCTTGATATAATGACAATGCAACACATAAGGTAGATGCAAACTACAAAAAGAGTATTGTAAACTGTAGCAATACTTTCTCTGTAGATGAAACCACGAGCGAGTCGTTAGCAGTCGTGTGGAAGAGGGGCCAGATAAGTAGTGATGATCAACTCTATATCTGTTTGTCTTGTAGCTATATTGTGCTAGCATGCTTAGGAATGCACTTGGAAGTTTGGTAATATAGCATCTTTGCCTGCAGTGTCCCTGCTGCTGTGGCTGCATTTTTGGTCGAGGCGAAAATGCTTGAAGTTCATGTGCGTAGATTTAGGTGCGCATTAAAGAACCCCAAATGGTTGAAATTTTTGGAGACCAGCCACTATGGCATCTTTGATAATCGTATGGTGGTTTTGGGACATTAAACCATAACAATTACTACAATTATTGTCTACAGTGTGTCTCACAACCATACTGCAGATTTCTCACATTTTTTTTTTTTTCACTCTAGGCACTGATGACTGATAGCAGCAAAAATATGGCTTCACCACTGGCCACGGTCGAATCACCATACAAAGAAGAAACTGGGATCGAGAAATTCAAGCGAAAGGCCAGAGAGTCCCCATTCATGGTCATTGGTATGTTTACAGCTTTCATTTGAAAAGTACAATTTAAAGTCGTGGAACAACCCCCGTAGAGAGTGTAATACATAGTGATGGTTTTTTGGCACTGTAATACTATCAACGAAACACCCACGTGTTTCTTTTTTTTAAACGGTGATATGAGTTTTTACATGAAAATTTAAATGGAGTATAGTGTGAGGTTTCCTTGTGTCTTCATTCTAACTGAAGACGTTCTACAATGGTAGAACATGTTCTTTGTGAAACAGCACGAAGAGGAACGAAATACCAAAGAAGACAAGCAACCGCTGTACATGTTTTCGTTAAAGTGTTTAACAAGAAGAAATGACATTATAGGTATGACTTGGTGTAAATGTGTGGTTTATGTTAGTCTTCAAGTGCTCTTAATCCCAGTCAAGAAACTGATGTGTGAGGCTGCTGTCAGTTATTTACTGTAACGATAATTATGAAAACCAGTTTTTATAACAGTGCATAAATTTTATGCTGCAGTATGTCTGTCAGCTTCATTGAATTTTTCGGCTGCTGCCACATGCGTGTAGTGCCACCTGTTATTACCCTTAAACTCTTTATGTCAAGTTGCATATCTGTTCATGACGTGCTGGTCTTGGCAACAGAACTTTGGTAGTACCTTCAGCACCTTGGTGGTAGTATTCATGTGGGTCTTTCGGACCTGCTTCACAAGGTCAGCCTACTCATATTCAAGGTACCCCTTTGCATGATGATATGCTGTCGAAAAATAGATTTCCTCCGTTTCTGCCATTGCATACACATGCTTCCAGCGCACAGAAGTTATGGGTTGTGTCTTTCTCGCTGCTTTTTCTTTTCCTTGCAGAGATTTTAAAAGCACTCTTACAATGGAGGTGTGAAGAGGTACTATTGTTGAACATGGTAAACCATGTTTGTCAAGCATTTGAGATTCACAGCTCGGCAGCCCCTCCTTCATCCCTGCTTGGTGTTCCCCCTATTCACAAACCTAACTTAAACTTATCCTTATGAATAAGCTGGACCTTAACCATAAGTCCACTGTTAAGCGTTTCAAGCACCTACCTTGTCCTTGTCGCATTATTTCCCTCGTATTTGAGTAAGGCTCGGTTAAAGTAGCCTAAAGACCTACCTTAAGGCTTCCTTGAACGCAATGGTGGAGGACAGCAACTCTGTGTATTTCATTGAATATGGGGACCGCAAAGAAGAAATATTGAATTGCATAGTGTGTGTATACACATCACCGCAGTGAGTCCTCAACGATGAACGTAATCTGCTTGACAACTACTACAAGCAGGAATTTTCGTGCCGCCCCTGCTTCTCCAAAAGTGCCATCAAGAATCTGCTCGCTGTGCTGTTTCTCCAGGAAAATATTCATGGTCGCGGGTTCATTGTGCCCCATCTCATCTAGCTGCTCATTGTGTCGCGCTTTTACGGAGTGGGTGCGTTTCGAATTCGGAGCGACGGCCTTGTCAAGGTCTCTTAGCCGACCGTGTCACTAGTATACAGTCCAGCGGATAGCTGCTATGGTTGCAAAAACACTTTTTCCCGTACCGATAAAACTTCCCGAAGTGGCGCAAACACTTTTTCGGTTGTTTGGTTGGCCGTACACGGATGCACCGTGTGTGTGCTGTTGAATTCTATCGCGAGCTGCTTTCACGTTTTTAGTTTTTTTTTTTTTTTTAAGGCACACTGGGTCTATCTTGGTACTTCTTCACAGATTCTGTCTGGAGGTAGCCACTTCGTTGGTAAAGTTCATTTCAGTGCACCGTACCACAATAAATGCAAATTCGTGAAAAAAAATCTGTATAACTGCTCAAATTATCAAACAAAACTTGTGAAGTTTCAAAGAAAGTGATAGAAAGCAGCAAATGCTGTAGTGAGCACGATTAACCACCGAACACTGCAAAAACATACAAGACGTCGAAAAAACAAAAGTGGCCTGACCACCCACCTGCGTTGACGGGGTTTGCAGAAGAGTGGCTGGGCGAAAAATGTGTATTTCACCATAAGCGGCTGGTATGTAAACAAACATTTCTGCTGTTTACGTTTGGCTGCTTCTGCGCATACTGTTGTTGGTTTCTTGCAGTAAAACTAATTTATTACTGCCCGAGGTAGGGATTTCGTAGCAAAAACTTACCTACCCTCGCACGTAGGGCCTATACTTGACGACTTAAGGACGCCTTTCATAAGACGCCTTTATCACAGGATAAGGGAGGTTTCTGAACCTCACCTTGTACTTTTCTTATACTTTTCTCGTCTTTTCATGAGTAGCCTTACCGCAATGAGATAAGGTCGGTTCATGAATACGGCAGTTATTGAGCTGCTTTTCTAGCAGTGACTACCATATTTACAACTGCACCACAGACAGTACACGGATGCTGGACCATGCCTTTGGTGCTCTTGGTGTGAAAACGCCGTAAACATGGATACATAAAGCGCCTCTGGTGGTTGTGGCACAATAGGCCTACCTTCAATAGTTTTTTTTGTGAACACACCAAACTAGCATATATAGTAGCTTAAGCTTCGTGGTCTACATTCGAGGTGCATGGAACTGAAAGGGCCTTGGCTGAGCCTGGTGGTCAGGTTCAAGGAATGAGGTGTTGTTATGGGTTTGTACCTGCAGGAGTAGAGCTATTGGAGGAATACACCCATGTATTTGGGTTTTGCTGCACTTACAGAACACCAGATAGTCAAGAATAAAGCGCAGCCCCCTACACTACAGTATACTTCTGAATAATTTAGTGATGCTGGCAAATTAAAACCCAGAATTAAATCTTTTTTGGATTACATCCCTTTCTTTGCCATACAATTCCATACACACACGCACACACACATTTTTAATCATGCGAGATTGTTGGGTGGCCGCTAGTAGTAATCTTTGAAAGAATGTAATTTATAAATATTTTTTTACACCATACATTTCCACTAACATTGTTATGGTTGTTTAAATTGAATACTTCAATAAATGACTATCGTACTGGACTGAGCAAATGAAAACTGGGTGACCTTGATTACACAAGTTCTTTCAGTAGCGTGACAGAACTTGTCTCGAAGCATTCTCATCCTCAGTAAGGAATTTTGGTACCTATGAGGTTGTCATAGTAGCAGAGGAAGTATAAAAGTAAAGAAGTAAGAGATATACTGTTGTGACTGAATACGAATGGCGCAAGGGTTGCTCAAGGAACAGATTATGTACAGATGGGCGTATTGCCTGTAGCTGTGTTAACTGTTTGACCCACAGATGACTTGCAACATACGATATAAGGAAAGTGTAAATTTAAAGGCTTGTTTATTTTCGTTAGGCACAATGTTAGGGAAAACTGACGGACAATAATGCCAAGGAAAGTATAGGGGATGCTGTTAGGAGTAAATGTAATGTAAATGTGAAAAAACAAACGGGGACGAAATGATCTTGGACGAAATGTGAACTTGCTGAAGGCAGGGACCGAACTTGCGACCTTCAATGATGCTAGTCAACGAAACCATGCTTATAATGGGAATGCATGCATGGAACTTTGAAGCATGTTCAAATATTTTCAAGGCTACTGTGCCTGTTTTGCGGTGCTGACATATAGCCGAAACGGTCTCGCAGGGGCGCCTGCGTAAGGAGGCATTTTGTGTGTAGCGACACCATGGACCCGAGCTAACGGGGCAGTTTCTACTCCCTCCCACGCCTAGCCGTGCGTGGCTTTGCCGTGTCCGGGGAAAAGGGGATCCTGGGGGTTGAGCCGACGTTGGCTGATTGGACCTTTAAGGCCCCCCGGCAGAGGCAACACACACCTTTGGCCCCGGCTTCACGTAGACGGCACCCCTGGGCTGACCCACCCAGGGGAAATCGGCAGTCGCCTTTTCCCATCTCTCTCTCTCCTTACATCTTCGTCTTTATCTCTCACTATTTATCTGTCCTGTCTTCTACTCTCTTCTGTCTACTTCCAAACTTCCTGGCGGCTAGGGTTAACCCTGTGCAAATAGCCTACCTTGGTCTAGGCGCATTGGGTTATAGTAGCGTTGTATGGCTGGCGTCTGCAGGTTTTAGCATCCGCAAACTTGTAGCGTCCCCTCGTTGGGCTCTGTGGTGGGTGGCCGCCAACGCTTCTGAAGAAAACTAAACTGGCATGCATAGAGCGTTTTCCTTATTAAGTGATCGTACCGCACCGAAGACTTAGGCTTTTTCAACCGATCAAATGAAAACTTCCCCCATTTTCATGTTATACATAGTGAGATAAGCAGCAAGCAAGCCAGAACTGTATCCCCCTTTGAAGTAGCCAGATGTCTCACAGAAACTCTTGGAGCCAGGTACAAAGTTACCAAAATGGCCAGCGGAGACCTCCTTCTTGAAGTTCGAGAAAAAGAACAGAATCTTTCAACTTTTGGTGAGACTCCGATCACTGTAACGCCACACAGATCTATGAACACAACCCGTGGAGTAGTATCTGATGCTATTTGCTCGGCTTGACCGAAGAGGAACTTCTGGAGGGGTGGAAGAGTCAGAATGTGACCAATGTACAAAGGATCATCATTAGAAGAGACAACCAGGTAACACCAACAAAACACCTACTACTCACGTTTGCTTCCAGTAATCTGCCAGAAAGTATTCAAACAGGGTACATGAAGACGACGATCAGACCATACATACCTAACCCACGTCGTTGTTTTAAATGCCAGAGGTATGTCCACGGCTCACAAAGCTGTCGTGGTCGCCAAACTTCTGTACAATGTGGAGTGTCAGGCCACAATTCTGACAATTGCGAAGAATCATCACACTGTGTGAACTGTGGCGGAAATCATGCCTCATACTCACGGTCTTGTTCATTTTGGAAAAAAGAAAAAGAAATCACATTGAAAATTAAAGAAAATATTGCATTCAAAGAAGCAAGACGAAGAGTGTCGCCATTTTACGGCGCTACATATGCTGATGCGGCGCGTCAGGGGGCAACGCCGCACCAGCCCTTGCCACTCCTTCGGCCAGCGCAGAGCGAGCCGTCGGCTGTGGCGCCTGCCCCCAAGGCGGC